CTCCATCTCTAATTTGCCCATTATATTTATAAACTGACAGTTAATACTATTACTCTTTCACATACTAATAAAATCATCTGGGCCCGGTTGTTCGAAGCCCGTGTAAGCCTTTGAACTACCGGCCCCAGATGATTTTATTAGTCTGTGAAAGATTAATTATTAACTGTCAGTTTATAAATATAATGGGCAAATATATGATTATGTACAAATTGCATGCATGGTTCATAAAATCTCTGTGATAGACTTGCTCCAACAGATTTAAATTCCATCCTGACAATACCTAAATAATAATTATAGAGGTTGCAGTGTTGCACTACCTTTTGCTAAAATACTGCCATTGTTTACCAGTATTTAATATGAACTCAAAAGTCAAAACACTTAACACTATGAAGTATTTAGATTTATAAATAGTACTTAGTATTTTATAAACCTTAATTGCATATAAAATAGTTTATAGTTATCTTACCTTTGTACTTTTACTGTAATTATCTCTTTAGTTTGTATTTGTTCACTAATCTGTGTTTTCTTATTTCAAAATAAACTGAATTTCATATCAAGAAGCGAAGTTTGTCTGTTTGTGTGCTTATTTAAAGGCACAGTTCAGCCTTCTGAGTGATGGTTTTTATGGCGCATTACAAGCCTTTTAATTGAAAAAACTAACTAGGAAAATCAATTAAGCATAATTCAAAATCAGTGAACTCAATGTTTTTTAACATTAGAAATGTTTAAAAATGTTAAAAACATTGAAATCACTGATCTTGAATTATGCTTAATTGATTTTCCTAATTAGTTTTTTCAATTAAAAGGCTTGTAATGCGCCTTAAAAACCATCATTCAAAAGGCTGAACTGTGCCTTTAAATTTCTCTCCCCCCCTGGAAAATGGCCACGAATAACAGCGTCGAAAACGATTGATATCAGGTTGTTTACGTATTGATAAAACAAGACTGTTCGCAGTTGTTGACAATATAAAACATCATTGATATCAGGTTGATCTCAGTTGTTCCAACAACGTTGTTCAGGCCTTGTTCGTTCATCAGGCGTCAACAACATTGTTCGAACAAGCGTGAACAATATTGTTGACAACATTGCTGCAAGTGGGCCGCACAATATTGCAGCATCCTGTTCAGAACCAAGTTGCAGCAACTTGTTGACAACTTGCAACAACATGATGATTTTTGCCGTGTAGCTAGCGGTAAATCAGCGGTATGCTATATAAGGTACTTCGTGTTACCAAACGTCAAAAAATTGATCACGTGTTGCATGCCATCATAGCCTATATCGCCCTCCTCAAACTCCACGATGACAAAGCGTTCTACTGGTAAAAAACGGGCCTTTGCTATTTTTTTATGGTTCAGGGACTTAGAAACTAATGGATTTTTTTAAACTTTAATTCGTCCAAGTTACATAACAGTCAATATACTAAAATTAGAGTGCATATTTCCAAAAAAAATTGGCTAGGAGTAAGAGCCTACTATAGAAACCTAATTTGGCTATTTACTTAAGGCCCCGTTATGTTATTGAATAGTTCAAGATATATGTCAAATTAATTGATATATGACATGCCGTGAAGAGAACAATATAACGCGAGTAGTAAGTAAGAAATTTATATTTAGGCCAATGAAAATTGATATCATGTTTCTCGTCCACAATTTTCAAAAATTTGGAGCGGGATTTTTTCATTTTTCATTATTTTTTGTATTTGAATTGCTTGTCAATAATTTCCTTGAGCCAGTAAAAAACCTCATAAAAATCTGAAGTAAATCGGTGTATAATTCATTTTAATTTAATACGTCCTACACTACAGTATATTTCTAAACATACCAGGGCTGACATGAAAAATAGAGGCATTCTGGAGAGTAATATCTTTAGAAAGATACAATTTGAGTTGCGCTTGCGGAATGCAACAAATAGTCTTTGATCTGGAGATCAGTTTGGTGTTTTGTTAAGCCTATTTTTCAAAAATAATGAATAATGAAAAATTTTCGTGCGGCAGATAAATCCCATGCGGGCGGGGACAAGAAAGATGACATCAATTTTCATTGGACTTACATTGCTTGATATAGGAAGAACACAAAGACAAAGTTAAAGTTGTTACATTTTCCCCAATTCTAGAGACTGAATTATATCACTATTTGATTGATGTTATTTTTGTTTTGAATATGCACGAGTTCTTTATATTTCTTTGTATATTCATTAAAAATCTAACTACAACTTTCGAAACTACAACTCATCATAGGTTTATACTGTCTGTACAGTAGTCCACAAGGCACAATGTTTTACTCATCACTTTACTCATCTTTATTGCTGGAAACAAGACAAAATGCAACTTCAGCTCACATATCGATTTTGTCCACGAGAAACGAACGAAGCTGTGACGTTTCTCTGTGAAACATCATGGAAAAAGTCCATACAATATCCATATGACGTTTCTCATGGACAAAATCGATAGAGGAATCCCTAACTCCTAAGACTGTTATTAAATAATAAATTTGTTATTTATGTTGATGCATGTATGAGCTGTACAGGTTGTTGATACATATTTATCAAGAATTTTATTATTCCAATGTTTTACTATACTCTATAGGCATAGCCAGGCTGCCAGTATATAGGATGTTCAATTTCGTGTTTGTGAATGTCGCGCACTTTACGATTAACGATCTTTTTATAATCGTGAAATTAAGTACGAATAAGGTATTAGCAAGAGAATGTTTAATATAATTTGTTCTTTTACAAAATTTGTGTAACATTTCCGCGTTTTTTTTGCTATAGCCTATAATTACAGATTGCTTTAGTATTAGTCAGGAAATAACTCGCGAATGTCTAATATCCAGTTTAATGTAAAAAAATATAGATGGCAATTTTTTAGAAAAATTTTTTTTATGCATTTTTAAACCTATAAAAAATTATAGCTGTCCTGAAATGATTTACGACATATATTGTAAACCCATTAAAACGATAATTAAAAGTTTGGGAATATTTCACTCAACGCATGTGCGGGAAGTTTCATAAAATTTATGATGATGAGTTATGAGGGAATGCTGTCGTTTTGAAATGCAAAGCCACGATACCGAGTTTTTTTACGTCTGGTCAGCTTAAGAGAATAGGGTCTGGACATTTTTAGGGCAGGTATATGCTTCATCAGAGAATTATTAGTTTGCAGAACAAATTACTGAAACCCATTGGCCTTGTCGTTTGCAAGCTGATAAATATATCGTTGATTTGCATGTGTGCTTATATTGCGAAGCAGCTGTAATTGGAGCTGTAATGAACTTTCCAATGACGCAAGCCAAATGAATATGAGGACACTTTAAGATAAAAAAAGACTTGTTAATTGATATCGTGTCTTACTACTCTTACATTAATTATTACCGCTGATGAATATCCGCACTTTTGCCAGATGGTTACTTTGTGAAAGCATAGTGGACTATGGTGAAAGGGTCATCCAAAATCATCAACATTCTCACAACAATATACGTGACATAGGGTTCCATGGCCACTGACGCTTTTTTAATGTCAGTGATAGGTACATCGTTATCGATCCTGAGGTTTCGTTTCCCCAGTCCTCGTTATAAGCAATGACTCCGCTAAAATACTCCGGTTAAAATTAACCTTATAGAAATAGCCCTATTTGGGACAACTTAATATTCTTGGTTAAATTTCCTGGTCATTTCAACCATCCAATTATTAGTATGGTTAATTTGACCAGGACGTCCTGGCCTTAAATTAACCAGACAATGCTAGGTGATTCCTCAGGAATCTGGTGTACTTGACCATGCAGGATATCCTTGTTAGAATACGTTAGGGACCGGTCATTAATTACAGGAGAGGGGGTGGGGGTGGGGGCTGGTGGAAATGAAAAATTAGATGTTAAAATTTTGTTGCCCCCCCCC